TCGTTTGATGTCGAATTTGCAGACTGCGCTGGGATGACCGTCTTTTTCTTACGAGGCTTGCGCTTCTTGAATGGACGTGCATTTGCTGAACTAGTCGTGGTTGATGTTTGGCTAGTCGTTCCCCCGCCAGTAGGGTTTCGTTGTCCTTGAGTCGCAGTATGGCTTGTAGACTGACCCAAGCTGTTGTTGCTCGCCATCTGGTTAAACAGGACGTTTGGATTGCCAGGAACGAATCCAGAATTATTCACGCCAGAAAATGAGTTTTGAAGGTTTTTGTTTGTCTGGAACTCAACATCCATTAGTTGGTAATCACAATGGTTATTGCGATACGGTTGGGTACCTACATAGCCTAAGATATTTCCATAGTTATTCGCCATCGGTCTGTTGAATGATTCATATAAGTACCTGAGAGTGGAAGAATAATGAAAACGACACAATCACTCACCAGAGAAGTTATTAGATTGTATTTGCAATCACCAAATAACAATAGCGCTTGCAGGGGTTGAATCGTTGGCAGACTGTTTTTTCGGTATCGGCGGACTTGGAGGAGAGGAAGGGGGGGAGTGAGGTCGACTTTGAAGTTGAGCGACCTTGGGGGGATTTCGGCTGGGAGTTCACCCCAAACCGGCGGTTCCTGCGGCCGACTGAATCCCCGCCAAATCAATGTCTAAACCCGCTCTTACGCACCCGCGAGCTACTCTCTTAGAGGGTAGCGGCCAGTCCTCTCAGGTGGAGCCGCATGTATGTATGCCAAGCGAAATGGTTAGTCAACGTCCCGTCACCACGTGGGGTGTCGGCTTAGCGTAACGCCGAGTCGCATCTATGATCTGGCCAGCATCAGCTCGATTTAACCGCACTAGCGGATCAATCCCTGAGCAAGCCAGCTCAAGGTAGTGTGTGAACATGCTTATCTCCAGGCAATCGGGAAGGCGACACACTCCCGCAGTGGGTTTCCTTGGAGTCTCCTGGATGTTTGTTGGCGCACGACGTGTGTTTTCATATTTATATCGATCGCTCACATTTTAAGCGATGTGATCCCGCGCAGGCAAATGGGATTCAATGTCCTCCGTATAGGCGGAGGATGGATCACATTCCACAATTCGCGGTGACGTCGCCCAGAGAATCGGCAATATAATATCGCACCGCTCGACCGCCGAATGCCAATAAAAAGGTCTTTGTCGTGTAAAGCCTTGCCATCAATCACTCACAGTTAGTTAGGCATGACGCCTGGATGTATCATAGCGCGAGCTGTTTGAGGGACATGTAATGCAGAAGCAACTGTGATTGTCTACTTCAAGTTCGATGTATTAAAAAGTGGAGGCCAAAAGTCAATCTTGTTGCAAGAAGTATACGTATCACGGTGCCCTTGAGTGAAAGATGACATGAGTTGCTTGCAGTGCCAGTACTCCGAGTTGTAGGCTAGTTTCAGCATTGCTTGCAGTGTAATTGGATGACTTCCCGTCGAAATCTGCGGGTCTCCCAGTTTTGATTTAGAGCCGCAAAAGCTAGATTTCCCTGCAAAAATCTAGGCTTTTTGGGTCTAAATCCCAAACTGCGAGGGTCCCAGGTCCGTTGGGAAGTCCTCATTCCTTCTTGTGATCCAAAAACACTCAAACATCAATTGCAGGTTGCTGGAAAAGACATATAATGGTTCCATGGATGAATCCACCACTCCCTTCAAGTTCAACGCCTGTGGCTGTCAGCACAGCAGATATATCTTGACAGTGAGCCTTGTTGGGCCACATCACATCCTGAGAGCCAAGGCAGTTGATGGCATTAATTACCCTCCAAGTTACTCTAATGACTGTACCACATGCAACATTCAGGTTTTGAGTGCATTGTCCAACTGAGGCGCCATTGCCATTGGAACCAAGATTTTCTGTAAGGGTTCAATCCCTTCACTGAATCATCATGGAAAATGAACCAGTAATTTTGGGCGCTGAGGGAGACTTTTCTAGAAGCAAGGTTAGGATTTTTATTCTAGCTCAGCAGACAGTGAGAAAATAAAGTCAAAGTCTCTCTGTTAGTTAGATACAAAATTTCAATGAAATGAAAAGAGAATAATGAAAATTTAAAACAAGAGAAATGAGAATCTTACCTAGCTCAGCAGACAGTGAGGAAATAAAGTTGAAGTCTGCTGAGCTAGGAGGGGGAGTGGGGTGAGATGTGTTGAAGTAGTTGTTGGTTTGTTTTTTTCTGTGATTGGTGTGTGAAACCTGTGATGAGGTTTCACATGTGTTGAATTTTCCTCAAATCTTTCTCTCTGCCCTTTTTCTTTTTCTAGTCATCACAAATCAGACCAGACCATATTCATCAAGTATCTTGTTTTTTTGGTTATTTCAAGCCCCCTTCCAAGTCAAATATGAACCTTAAGTAATTATTGGAACTCAGACTGTGAAAGTGTGTAGTTCCGTGCAGAATAGACTCAGAGTCCCCCTCGGAGGTGTCTCCCGAGTCCCCTCAGGTGCCGTTCTGCGGCGAGTCAGAGGCATGTAACAGCCATGTTACAACACCCCCCCTCTCGCCGCAGACGCCCTACTACATACAACATCGTAAGACAGAGAAACAAAAGATAAGAAACCAAAATATGAAACCAAGAAAACAGGAGCCCAGTATTTTGGGAAGAAAAAAAACAATAATAACAAGAAAAGATAATAAAGGAAAATATTATAGACATCCCATAATCTTCTCACGCAGATCATTGAAAAGATCTGGTGATAAGCATTTGGTAAATACATCCGCCAATTGCTCCTTGGTCCCAACCCACGTTAGCGTTGTCTTCTTCTGGAAAAGGGCCTCATTGGTGATGTAGAAGTCTCTATCTGAGTGCCGTGTCCGCTTATTCGAAGCATCATCCGTGGCCACACGTACAGTTGATTGATTGTCGCAGTGCAAGTGACCTACAAAATCAAGTTTCAGAATATCTTTGATAAGATGTCGCACCCAAAGTGTTTGTCTTGTTGCCACACCTAAAGCCATGTATTCAGCATGACATGTCAAAGATGCAACGGATTGTTGCCTACGTGCCACCCAAAGAACAGTGCAGTTGAAAACCGTCATGAAAACTCCATATGCCGACCTTGAGAATTCTCCTCCCCACGAGGCATCGCAGTATGTTTTCAGGGGCTTGCTGTCAACCTTGGGGAAAAGTGAGAGTCGAAGATTCCTTGTACCAGCCAGGTAGTTGATTAAATGTCGTACTCCCTTCCAATGGATTTCCCCTGGTTTTGCTGCAAACCTAGCCAGAAGATTCACGGCATAGCAGATGTTGGGTTGAGTTCCTACCGCCAAATAACTTAGAGAACCTATAACGGACAGATATTTTCCGGTCATGGAAGGGTCTCCTCCCGGGTCAGTTAAAGCGTTATAATTAGCCGGCAGTGGGGTCTTTGCCAACGATACCCCATCCCATTCTGATTCCAAGATACTATCAATTAAATCCTTCTGATAAAGTTGAAATCCACTATCTGTCCTTACCACATTCAGTCCAACAATTGAGTCGAGGGAAGAGGACCATTTGATTTTCAAGATGTCCTTCAGATCGCTTTCCAGCTTTTTCAGAAGAGATTCATTTGAAGCTGTGACTACACCGTCGTCCACATGGAGCCATATGACACCGTGTTCTTGAGGATGTCGTAGAATGTAAAGGCTATTGTCGTATTGGGAAGGAACGTAGTCGAGTTTATTGAGGACTTCCCTCAGGTGGAGCCACCAGCACCGCGCAGCTTGACGCGTCCCATTCAGTGCCTTCTGAAGTAACAGTCCGTGACCTGCCGGTACCTCTAGTCCTTACGGTGGTTTGACCCAAACTTCCTCATCGATTGGTGAATTCAAGTAAGCTGCAACAAAATCAAAACTATGAACTGGCCATTTGTTAGCAGCTGCAATACTAAGCAGAACACGCAGGGCCACAAAAGTAGCTGTTGGGGCAAAAGTCTCATTGAAATTGACACCCGAGACCTGGGTAAAC